ACACTTAAAATTGAAACCTAAAAACTATATTTTAAATGAAATATATTTTAAAAATCCAAAACTGTTTCAGGATATCCGTTTCTCACATTTAATTTTAAAACTTTAAAACACATCAAGAAATAGGAGAAACAAGTGACTGTTTCTTACATTCTTCTGAGGAAAATGAACAATCTCTCTTAAACCTTCTTATAAGGACGATGGCACGGAATGCCAAAACCCACAGAAAATAAGCATCTTCAACATGCTTGCAAAAAGGGACAAAAAGCAACTTCTCCCCCACCACTAGGTTTTCTACCTCCAAACCAACAACCATTTCAAAAACCTCTAGGCATGGCAATAAACATTAGTAGCTGGAGCAAAACATAAATAATATACAACAAAAGAGAAGTATTAAAAAAACGGCACAAATATACAAGCCCTGCACAAATGTGGGTTTTTTTGTATCTGGAAGAACAGAAAAAAAGCTCTTCTGGAGGCTCAGCAGAGGCAGCAAGGGGGACAGGAGATTTTTTCGTCAGGAGTTGATGAGGCGTGACGCTGCCTGACCCCTCCATCGAGTTGTTGCTATTATGTACAAGTGGGGGGATAATGAAGCATTAATGCTAATGTGGTGCTCACATCATCGGAGGCTGCGGCGTGTAATCCGCGACCCCAGTGCCACCGGGAGTCTGCGAGACTCTATAAAACACATCAGGTCGTTCTGCTGAAGAGTCACGAGCTGTGTAATAATATAGAGAGCTCAGCCAGTGCAAGGTCAGGCTTTACCACCAAAGCAAAGCGTTTTACAGTACAGGGCAAAGAACCCCAAGTCACTTCAAGCAACTGGAGCTCAAAGCCTCTCTCATGTGCCGCTGATCAAAACTGATGGGGGTCATTAATACTTTGATATAATGTATCTGTCATCAGTGACACAACTGAATGCACGTTAACAGGATAATAATATTTAAAATCTGCCAGGAAAGACTTGTCAGAAGAATTAAATAAGGACTCCGACAGACGTGCACTGTCTTACACACACACACATTCACCCTCAGACACACCGTCTCTCTCTCTCGCTACTTTTTCTTCTCTTGCTCATGGAAAGCTTTTTAGATCTTGGGAGCCAATGAATGAAGACAGGGCCACTCTTCTCACATGAATGAAAAATTGCCCTTTGTTCATTTCATCAGTTGCATGCCTAATGAAATCAAAATCCAATTGCATAATTTAGTAAGTGCAGGCTCTCCACTCAAAGCAGACACATAGTGATTTGTGACCTTTTACCATATTGTGAGATTAACACCTTCATTTGTTCTATTCAAACACAGTTAAAATATTACAAATGCAATGTCTAAAAGTGCTCCTTCTAAGAAAAACAGTTTTGGATTTTAAGTTAAATCTTTTATAAAATTATTCAGTTTCTGCTCTAATACTGCACTTAATAATATATCTCTCCATTGGCTCATTTTTATATGCGATACGAACAACTAAACATTAAGCACATTGCTCTATAGTAAAATGTACTTGGCTTATCATCATTTTGATCAAGTAAATGGAAACGTGAATTACAAAATTGAACTTAAATTACTTAAATTGCACTGAATTCAGAAAACAAATACCAGGGTTTACATACAGAGAATGACAGGCATAAATTTTCCCCTGTAAATCTAATTAAAAAGGTGCAAAAACATTTTAATAGGGCTTATTTCATTCCATCTCTACGCTATCAGTCGTTCTCAGCCCCAATCTCTCCTCTCTCTCTTTCTCCCCTGTGGTTTCCCACGCCTCTCCTACACAAACTCATGAAGGTTAATTGTTTATGGGCTTGAACACAATACCCATCCTCCAGTGTAACATTTTCATCTTATGCTTTCCTTTCAACTAATTAACCTTTGTGGGTCGTTCATGTTGGAATCTGTCCGTCGAACCGCAGCTCAGTCAGGGGAAAAGAGGCATGGGCTGTCAAGACATGATTCAGTACAGCGGGGCACCAACACCTCAACAAGTAATCAACATAGACCCAGCACAGCCTCCCCTCAGCTTGGACAGGCTTGTCCTTCTCACAAGAATTACCAGCAGTGAATCTAAGGGACTCTCACTACTTACCAAGTAAAGATTTAGAAATATTAGTTATACTGTATGAACACAAAAAATTCCACTGCTTTCAAAATGATTGATTTTAATAAAACAAGCTCTGAGCGTCACATTTCAATGAGTGAACGTTATAACTGAAACTTTCTTCCTTTGAAATACGTACTTACAAGTAAGGATAATTATTGTTGAAAGAACCAGCAAAGTCAATTTTAGCCCTTTTTGGTAGAATTACATTACGCGTTATCTGAAAAGAAAGTGTGCCACTTGTGAGGGCATTCATTTTTAAGGCCATAAGGCAAATACTATATATGGTTAATTTGTTGTAAAACCTGCATCATCAGACATCATCTTTGCATTATTTATCTTGAGGGGTAAAAATATCAGAAGCTTCCAAAATGAAGCTACATCAGTAAATAGTAATTAATCAGAGGGGAAGTTCTCCAGGATCCTCTATTAGTGGTCTAGGGAGGGAAAAGCACCCAAAGTCGGCTGTTGCAGTATGCTGAAAATGGAAACAACCCAATAACATAAAATGCAAATGTCTACAGAGGACACAGATAAAGTTATATACTGTAGCTACTATACAGTAGAGGTCCTGTACGTACAGTAGTTATCTTTTATAAAGAGGCTGTAATCTACTGTATGTGTAAGGTGCTCAGCAAAAATATGAATACTGAAAAATGAATTTTGTATGTGGAAAAGAGAAAACAATAAAATTAAAAAGAGCCTGGTAAGGAAAATTTCATAGCAAATTAAATTAATTTTATGTCAATGTTGAGAAGAAGAATGTGCAATGTATATATTCTTAGTTCTATAAATGGCTGATTTGGGTATTACCCTATACTATTCATCGTGTACACTAATTTCCCACATGGTATAAATCCAGAAATGCACACATTTACACAGGAACCAATTTAAAGAGATAGCGCTGATAATACCCATATTTGTGTTTAATTTATTTTTTTTTCTATAAAGTTTATGTCATTACCAAATACCAAGAAAAGGATTTGAGAAATAGATTGTTGGATATTTGTTCGTCTTGCTCCCTGGTCAAGCTGGCAATTGAGTAACAAATGAAATAGAAATTAGCATGAATGATCAAATCAATGACATTTACACTGCATAAACCAATGCAAACTGTGATCATTGTGGTGGGTTTCTGTTGTCTGTTGCAGTGTTTGTGTTCATGTTCCACATACCTCCAGCATACTGCTGCAGCTGCTTCCATCTCTCTAAACTTGGTCACTGCTCAATGGTCATTCTGACGTAGGCTCCTAAATCCCAGGTCTCCTCCACCTCCTCACCTAATTCTTAATTACTCTTAATTACTCATCCTCTAATGCCAACGATCGTTCCCCACCCCTCTCCACCGCCCTCAGCAGCAATGCTCCTTTTTCCAGCTCCCCAGCTAGCTGGGAGCTTTGCTATTTATATGCCTTTCTTGAAGGGCACAAGTACTACAATGTACAGGCCCCTTACTCTGTTTTCCTTTCTGCATTAATCTTATTCCTTTAGTAAGAAAGTAATGAACCATGGTATTAAAAAAAATGGACAAATTGCATTGCAAAAAATTGAGTTTTATTAAAAAAAAGCATACCACTGTTTAGATTGAAGATTTCATTTAAATAACAGAAAATGTGTAAAGAAGTTAAATAGCTATTTTCTATATTTATGAAGATGAATGTGAAATCATTAGTTTGGGGATGCGGCTTATTTTACCATCTTTATGACTAAGGGACCAAAAAGTTTTAAAAAAAGGAGATTTAATGTTTTAGAATCATTGTAGGAGTTCTTTGTTTAATCCAACTTTAGGGGCATATATTAAGATAATTAAAACAGACAGCTTACAGATGAGAAGAGGCCTAACGTCTATCTTGCTCATCCAGCTTTTAGTAATTTAATGATCCAAGAACCCCATCAAGAGTTTGTCAATTCTCCAAGTGACTCAGCTTCCACAAACAGTACACTGTTTGTTTCATACACCTAAAGCCTTCTGTACGATCTGTAGTTTGTAGTCCTGGTATTAGCTGCTCCTAATTTTAGTGGATTCCCTTAAATTCAGTCCTGTTTGATGACTCTAAAGCAGAATTTTTATTAGATTCTTTCAGAAATATCACTACCGGTTTGATAACTACCCACATTGACATTTTTTAGACGATTCAATTTACAAATCTTTTTGACTATTTTATACATCTGCACTATTTTTTGATAGGGTTGCACTTGTACATAATGCGTTCTTAGCTTAACCTGAAAATATTTTAAATCAATTATTCAAACACTCTGTAGCATTCTTATCCTCTCTTGCTGATGAATCCACAATTGAAGAATCAAAAACATCTTGATCATTTTTGAAGGCAGTTGCTATAGTTATGCCAACTTTTATCTTACTGTATTTTACTCCAATCCTATTACAACACTTATTTTATTGTTGCTTGTTATACTAAACCAGTGACATACAGTGTGTTAAACCAAAATTCTTTTGATCTCTTCTTCTCATGTTGCATTAGCTGCCCCTCAACTTTTCATCATCAAACTATTTGAAAAACTCCCAAATGATGCTGGAACCTAGCAGTACTACACCAGATTATAAAAAGGTTTGGATCCCCATGGTACTGTATGCCAGTGACAGCCTCATTCAAAGTCACTTCACATTCATATGCTCTCAATATTCTGTGTAAAGTATAAACTTTTTTAAATTCACTGCCCCAAGATTTTTGGCATCTTAGACCAATTATTTAGATAATTATTTAGACCTTTTCTTTATGGGAAACTAAAATGAGAAATGGTAACCATGTGCTTTGTTCCAAATCAAACATCACATACTGTACAATGTCTTGTAGAAACACTCTGACTGTACTCTGAATGTTCTGAGTCTATGCACCCACCCCTGGTTTTTGAGGAAAAGTGTTGAAAAGGCTGGCTCTTACCAGTGGTGCCAGTGGCCAGCTGCAGGTTGCTGCGGTCCTTGGTCAATCCATTGGTTTTGGGGCTGGCTGTTGGGGCTGTGGTGGCCACAGCTCGTGGAGGCCTCTTCCCAGGTACCTTCACAGTGGTCCTCAGCAGGTCAATCTCTTTCCCATGGACGTTCTGCATGTAGTCCTGGAATTAGACACATAAAGGCCCAGATTATATTAAAAATCATGTGTAGAACAAAAAAAGTGTATCCCTTATTTGCTGTAACAAACCTCCATAAGAGAGGAAAGTTCTACTTTGAGAGGTAAAACAACTCTCCCACAGCTGGCAAACACCCTTTTATGGTAGTTGGTAAACAAAACTGCCAAAGGCAGGAAAGCGGTTTTGAGAAAACTGTACTTGTATCATAGAAATCAAAACATATCAAGCTAATATAGAGTTATTCATAGGCTTTGCAGAAATTTATGTACAATATAAGCTATGAAAGCACAGGCTTTCTTTTTTAGAAGACCTTCAATACTTTAAACACTTTAAAGAAGTGTTCCAATACACATAAATGCATACCAAGAATGAAAAAAAAAACAGACTGAAAAGCCATGAATTTGTTTTTAATGAGAAATAAACAAGCTTTATTTCTGTAACATCAAACTTCTTAACACTTATAAAATCTGCAGCCCACCTTTTCTGAGATGTCAATAATGTTAATACCAATACCTTAACTTTATTTCTGAAGCTGCTGGATAAAGAATTACAAAGTGCTAGCGCAACAGATTGAATAACAGAAACGAAAGCAATGCCACTGAAGGAGGAATTGAATTCAGCCTCTCTCTTTAAACGGCTGAAATGCCTGAACCTGGCATTAAGGGTTTCAGATAACTCACAAATCAGATTCCCTTGTGTTAGAAGTACACATCTTTACATCTGTTACTTTGAATACTAAGCTATTGCATACAGTAGTAGTACCTCTCATCTAAGTAGCTCCTTGCAAACATTAAACCTCTTCATAGAAAAAAATATATTTTTGCAATGTTCCGAACTTCCTGATATTTACACTAATATAATAATAATTCAAACATCACCAACAACTTCATTAAATTTTAAATAATTCCATACCAAAGGAAAAAAAACAGGAGAGAAGACACACATCAGTAGACCTAAGGTGTCCACACCAAAGACTAGCCAAGAAAGAGACGACACAGTATTTAACCTTTCACAGTCCAAGTTCACGGAAGATGCAGAGAAATTGCTTAATGGTTCTGAATAGTTTCAGTTACTTAAATCTGGTGATTTGAGCAGAGCTAAGGGGGAAAAAAAGTAATTCCGCTGCTTTGAATAAGTAAATAAATAAAAAACAAAATCCCTGCAATCAGCAGAAATGCAAAGATCGCCTATTGAATCAGGCGCCAGCTCCACTCCTTTTATTACACGCCATAAAGCACTAATTTCTTCACAAGCCTCCTCGCTAATTACCCAGTGAGCGCTCTCATTTTATTTTATTACTGGAATTAACAGCGAGTTCAAAGCGTGGAAAGCTATTAAGATGTGTGATTAAGCCACATTCAATTAGTTTCTACAAACAATTTAATTGATGTTGCAGATAGAATTAACAGAAGGTGATTGTGTGGATGGCTCTGCTGGCTGGGAAATGAAAGGGAATCTCTCTCTCTGTTTCTCTCTCTCTCTGTTTGGAATAGGCGCTGACAGATAGCGGCAGCCAGTGGACTTGTAAGAGCATCACTGAATCAGGCAGCCATCCTGCGGCACCTCCACTGAGCAGAAACAAACACACATTCCAGACACGAGTGAGGCACGAACAACACAAGCCCTCCTGGAAGCAAACAATTCTTTGAACAGTGTGCTGTGGATTTCTGTGCATGATACTGGTAATAACAGAAAGCACATATAACTCATTGCATACAGTATATTTTATAGATGGTTCCAGGAGCATCACAGGTTACATCGCACACAATAATGCCATGATGCAACTAACTGCCGGAAGCAGGTGTAAAGCTTAAGAGCTCTTTACAAGGATAAAATAAAATTTAGCAGTACAGATGTTTATAATTGTACAATTTTGTGAACAAATCACTATAGAAAAATAAAACATTCACGGGATCTGTTATTAGCTTCTTCATTGTGATATTACTGATGTCAAGTAATTGGGTTTCTCCCAGCAGTAAACTATACATGGTATAGTAACTGAAATGGTATATGTACTCCCTTCCACGTGACTCTCTCCACTGTCCTCAGCTGATTATGATTTATTTACTACAGTATGTGTTCCCAATGTCTGTTTCCAGCTTTCTCTGTGGGTGACTGGGACTTTGTTTTACTATGCCCCAAAGCTGTTATCCCAAAAGATATCAGGGACTGAGCCACATTGAGTGTTTTCAAGTCAACCTAAAAATCTAAAAAAACATTTTTAGAAAGTTTTTTTTAGGAATGGTTTGTCATGTATGTCTGCTTTGGTTATTTTGGCTAAGATGCGTATAATGTATTGTAAAGTGCTTTGAGAAGAAAGGTGACATGTTAAATCTTATTATTCTGACAGGTTATTTTTAAAATAAAGTTTTGGGGTAGATTTATGACTGAAATGATCAAAAATACACATACACTTTCTCTAGTCTTAAGCCTCTTCACAAGTCACAGAATAAACTGTTACAATGGACCATTGCAAATCTTGTCATTCATTTTTAAAGAATCTTGCAAGTTGCCTAAATTTGTAAAAAAAAACATTTCAATCAGTAGGGACTTGCAGTGTTGAAGGCAAAGCTGGACAAAAACTGGGTACTATTGGTACCATAAACCATTTTTTTCCCTCTGTTGTTCATGCTGTTTAATTGCCACAGAAATGTGGAATCCAGGCACATTTAACCAGAATGTAAAAAGTAGATTGGATTACATTTAACAGCCTACATTTAAAATCTTGTGGTTATTCATTAATGAAGGTGAAGATTTATCTTGCTTTCACTTAAGAAGAACAAAAATGATTAAGTCATCTTTGGGCTGTATCACTTTAAAACATAAAATTACAATAAAATAAATCATTGGTGTAGAACCAGAACTTAATGTGAGGTTGACTCAGGTTAAAGATAACATTATTCTTGGATGTTTAATACTGTATATGTTAGATCTTCACAGATTCCTTAGCTCTTGATTTAAGAGTCATTTATCTTACCTAAATAAAAGCAGAAGAAAAGAAATGCAAAATGGCCCAATGAAAATGTTTTCTAAGATATGATTCAAATACTCTGTGGTAATTTGTGATCAAAAGAAATGATTCCAGGATAGAGAGTGGAGAAAAAACAGAAAAATTAGAGAAAGTTCTTGTCTTTAGATTAAAAACAAATGCTTACAGGAAAGGGTTTTTGTCAAAGTTTTAAAAATACACATTACGTGAAAGGTTAGAATATTTATTTTTGTTTAATTTGTTTTACCGTCTTTTAATAATAAAAAATGAAGCAATAAAATAATCTGAAGGAAAAAGAGAGGGAGAGCATCAGACTGTGTGCGGAGAGCTTGTGTCAGGCAGGGTGCTGCCTGTCTGTTGTGAAGTGTTTAAGAGACATTAGCGCCACAGTGGGGACGTGACAGAGATGTATGTCCCAGGCAGGCCTGCATTTCAGCCGTGCGGCGAGCAGGATAATAAATACAAGCAGAAAACACGGTGTGGCACGGCAGGCATTGCAGCACCACATCTCCATTATGAAAGAGTGAGCATCCCACTGCCAGGCAAGAGGGCAGAGCTTTCCCCCTCCAGCCTCAACATTAAGGCAGTGGATTACACTTCCAGAAGAACACACTGCTTAGATATTTTATTATCGATTTTCAAATAAAACCGCCAAGCATATCATACCTCTGGACTCCTACAAGCACGATAACTACATATCCTGTAAATGTACCTCAGAAAGCCCACAAGGAATTATTGTTCCAGTTTATTGCTAAAGTGAAAAAAAAAAGTTATTTTAAACTTTTTTCAAGAAAACGTCAGCTTTATTACAAGTCTGTACTTCTCATGTTATTAACTCCATTAGCAATGTTAAGCACTTTTTGTTACCATCTACATTGAGTATCAGTCTGTTTCATACCTTGATGCTTTTACCACACTTACCTCACTGAGCAGGTTCTGAATACTCTTTAAAACAGGGATCTTCTGATTTGACTTATTGCTTTTGTTGTACATACAGTGTACACTCATTTGCTGTTTCTATCTGTGCCCATCACGGTTATGAATCTTAAATCGGTTTACAGATTAAAAAAAAACCTGACTGTCCCATTGGTTGCCCTTATTATCAATATATTTATATCTAAAAGGTTGATAGTACGCCCACAGAAAACACTCAATCCTTCACTGTTAATTAGAACACCATTTTGACCTCTCTATTTACCATTTAGTAAACACAAAACCAGTTTTTTTACCCTGTACAGATTACATCAGCTATGAGACATGCAGTATGGAACATTCCAGCTAGAAGGCTGGGGACACTCACATGTAAGCTGGGGTGGTAAGTCAGGACACCATTATCACACAGCGTTACATATTTCTTCTTCCACTCTTTGTTCAGAGACTTCCCACTCCTCTTTAGAAGAATCCCCTAAGAAACAGAGAGAGCAGATTGGATGAAAATTAATTTACCAGTTATGGAAGTAAATCGAAGCCAAATACCTAAATGCAGCATTATGGAATTATTGCCCTTGTAAACTTCCAAGTCAAACAGTAGGATTTGAGAAATAGGAACAAGTAATAGGTTTATTCCATGCTGAAAAGAGAAGGAAGGAAACACAACTTTTTGGCTATGGAGCCATCTTTGGGATTTGAGAAATAGTTAAGTAATCCTTCAGAGTTAGAACACTACAAACAAAATCCATTGTTACCCTTCCAGAATTCAATAAAACAAATGCAATGGATACTTCCTGAAAATTAGGTGTAAATTTGCCTTACCAAGTACCTAACTACTGGCGTTCACTCACTTTTACTAAATCATTAACCAAAAAATACAAAACATCCATCAAAATGATTTATTTCTAACTTCAGGCTCCTGTGGGTCAGCAGACTTACTCAAGGACAAAAAACAATAAAAATTATGATTAAATAGAAAAAGAAAAACTTTAAAAAATGATGGTACAAACTGAAGCAGAGACACTTTTCTAGTTTGTGTTCTGACTTCAAATTCAAATGCCAAAATAAATTTTTGGAAGGCAGCAACATGATGATATTGATGGAGTACTGTACTCACTGGGACATTTCTCCAGTCATTCCTAAATCTACCCTGATATAACAAATATCCATACATTTATGATTGCACTAAGAAAGTCTCCAGCAAAGACTGTTACATGAAATTTACAAGGAAAAAAAAACATTCTGGAACACATCTAATAGCATTAATGTGAGAAAGAGTACCAGAAATAGTTTGCCCTGTTGTTTGCTCATTCTAGAATACTTGTGTATGTGCAAATCATAATATAATATTAACCAATCAATATGATTACTAGTCGCAAATCAACTTCCAGTTGTGCAAGATAATTGACTTGTGCTGAACAATATATGTTTCTAAAGCAAATGGAAGACATACAGACCATCACGATTCAAAGTTTAAATTTAAGAAGCAACATGGCAGTTCATGAATAATAAAAGTAATATATTCTTTATATTTTATTTTTATAAATATATTATTTATTAAAAAAACATTTGAAATATTGTTGCATCTGATGTAGTTTGAACCATTGAGTTTCTTAATGCACAGAAATTCATTGACGGAGCATCAAAAGCATGTGTGAAAACAGCAAGGATAATCACCACTTAACTAGTTAATGGAAACATCAACTCCCTCTGTCCTGAACATCATCATTTATGTTACAAAAGACTTTATGCATTATTAACGATGACTTTTTCTTATCCAAAACAAGATTCAATAGCAAATAACCAGTTTTCTACAAAACGACTTAAATGGAAGCTAGATTTTCTTTTTCAAACACTGAAAAACCACTAACAAAAACCAACTGCTACACAATTTCCCTTAAAAAGCATATTAAGTTAATAAAATATATAAGAAAACAGTGATTTAATATCATGACAAGTATAATACTGAAAGACAGTCTATAACATGATCATGAATTATCTTCATTAAACACTGAATTTCTTCAGGTTTGTCTTTGCCAAAAGTTGAAACCTGCTGTCTGTAAATTCTAACATTAATTTTAATATGTTGAAAAAGTTGGATATATGTATTTCGTTTTTTACATAAAAGCATTCTGGAAAACTTGCACATTGGGAAACCAAAGTCAGTCTGTAACATGAATACAAGGTTATTCTTCAACACATCTTCTGCATTACTATATGCTGCACCTAATTATTCCCACTTGCTCCATAGTATTACCATAATGTTTCAAATTTCCCTTACTTTCTTTATCTAATACTCAAATTAATTTGGGTTGAAATTAGAGGGAAATTAAAAGGACTAGAACTGGAAGATTAAAATATTGTGGCAACAGTGAAGACCCCACAGTAAAACTGTGAAGCAGTACCTCGTGAAATTGTGCAGAAACCTGAGATCGCTCTCTGAGGGCTAATTGCTGGGGAAATTGTGTCTTTTCTTCACTTTCAGTGTCAGAATTTCAGCAGCAGACTTAATTGTGCAGTCGTGTATTGATTGAAAATTGCAAATGGTAATTTAAAAGTAATCTTGTGTCTCAGCAGGGTGCTTGTCTAATCTGGCCTGTGTGCTCTGGATGATGCCATATCTCCTTTAATTTTAAGACACCTCCACTTCGCATTTCTCAAGACCAGGAAACTTGCATGAAACAACTTTGACAAAATGAGATAAAAAAGTATACCTTAATTTATAATTTAACATACTGCACAAAAGCTCATTTAGATTTGTTCTAAAAAAAAAAACATTGTTCCTAAATAAAAAAAGGGAAAATGGAAGATTTTAAATTGTCTCCCATTTGCTGTATTCGTGAGATACTGACTTGCAGTTTTTCCATCAATACTGTATTAAGTTCCATATAATTTAAAAAATTCAGGTCAAATGACATTGTAGAGAACTCCACTTCCAACTGTTCACCAGTAGCTTTTTGCTCAAGATTTAGCAGTTCCCCTTAAAAAAATTACAACAGACATTCAAAATTAAGTACCAACTCTCAAAACTATCAACATACCAAATAACTAATAAAATCTTCTGTTGATGCCTAATTTTAGATTTCAATACAACCTTCAGTAGTATCTCAACAGTAGTAAAGACTGGGCCACATTCGAGTCAAAGGTCCCCTAAGGTCTTTATAGTGGGTTACTTGCTGTATTGATGACAGCAAATGAATGAATTGTGAAGTTAAAAAAAACATTTTGGCTGCTTATGTAAGAAGAAAATGGTGCTATACTTATTGGGCGGCACTTAACCATGCAGCATCACAATTACCCAAAACATACGGCCAAACCAATTAAGGAGTTCATTAGGAGAAAAAACAGGACTATCTAAGACTGGCTGAGTCAATCCCCAGATTTAAATTCAATTGAGCATGTATTTTACATGCTGAAGAAATAAAAATGAACTCAGTACCCTTCAAGAAAAGGCAAGAACTCAAAGTTGCAAAAACATCTCAAATGATTACACAAAGAATATGGTGAGCTCAATGGTTTTCAGACTTTGTGCAGTTATTGCCTAAAAGGGATATGCAGCTAATTACTGACTTTTACACTCTGAAATGTACTTTAAGGTGAATGTGCCTCAATTCTTATGGCCACCTGAAATCACTGGGTTGAACACAAAGTTTATTAATGCCCTAATATGTTCAAATTTATGCACATAATTATACATAAAGTATACATGGTACTGAATGTTTATATGTATTATCTTTTGAGCAGAAACGTATATTGCTTGATTGTAACAAAAAAAAGTTTTGACCTTGTCATCTTTATTCTTTTGGAGAGTGTTGGGATGCCAGGAGTCACAGTACAGTTCAGTAAAGGTTTGAGATTAGTTTAATTTGTGATGAAAACATCCATTTATGGAGAACACTGCATCAAGACGCACACAAAGTGCATCCCCCACAGTGCCCCAAATTCCACCAGAGTTACAGAGGGTTTTATAGTCCAAGACTAGCCATGGCCCCTATGTTATTACCATGAGTGGGTGTTTATGAGTGACCATTACCAGTGTACTAAAATCATGGAAAATTCTTCCACTGAAGGCGCAGTGGCTATTCCTGATAATGTTATCCCTGCCATTTAGCTATTACTGAGATGTCACATACAACAGCAGGTGTCTGTTTAACAGGCACTCAAGCCAGGTCAGATTTCTGCAGAGGGCTTTGTGCACGTCTTTGTTTTGTTTGCAAAGAATATTGCTGGATGTACCACTGAAAAACAGATGATAATAAATGTACTATTTTATACAAACATGCCAGTTAGAGTCTGAGATTAGCAATCAGCATTATCTGTAAAACTTGCTTGAGAGTTGATGAGGGCAAATACTCTGTGGCTATGATGTTAACTGTGGAGTAGCTCGGCTTGTTTCATATTAGCAGTATTAGTGTTTTGACTTGGGAAACAGAATTAGCTAAAGGCAATTTAAAATAGGTGACATAACAAAAATTAATGCAGAAAACAAGAAATACAACTTATCCAGCAAAAGACTAAATGTGGGGAGGATACCAAGTCCAATATTATGGAAAATACTAGTTTTCAATTAGTAATACTAGTAATACCATTTTTGATAGTATAAGTTCATGTTATACCATTTGTTTACTTTGGTTGTGATGTCCCAGTTGTGACAGGTTTCCCAGCATTCTTCATGTTAGTGGAGGCTCCACAGCTGAAATGTTGCACACCTTCTTTCTGTCTACTCTTTAGCATGAAATTAAAGGGGAACTTCAGTCCCCATTTCTCAGAGCCAGTAGGAAGTCTTGGTTACGAAATACATTAATTGAAAAAATAGCAAAATTGTACAAATTCTGATATCATGCACAAAATCATGAACTTTGTGAAAATACTGTGTGGTTGGCATGTTGTTGCACATCACTCGTTTTGCCATGTAGGAGAGCGAGAGCACAAATTGTGAAAAAAACAGGTATTGCTTACTAGCACCTGTAAATAAAGTTCTTTGGTCTCCAAATAATGTTATCCTTTTTTGGCTTCTTCAACGAACATACACAATTTAAAAGAGGCCACACTGTTAAGCATTTAACTGTGCAGAACATAGTGGCCACACACAAAAAACCAAGGATTGGATCAGCAGAAAGTCAAACTGTTTCCTTTTCCAAAGAAATATTCAACTAGCCAAGAGATGGGCAATAAACATGGACACTGATGTTGGTCCCATCGACAAGTTTCTCAATAAGATTCAGCATCCTGTACAAGAGAATAAGTACAGGATGTGCAGCAGACATTTCACTGCAGAAATGTTCCAACGTGATGCAGAGGTAACGGGTAGTATTTGTTGGCAAAAATGACTCGAAGTAGATGTGTTAAAATTCAATTAAATTAAAATCAAATCGGCAGTCTAGATAAATGTGTCGTGTGATATAGTCGCAAAAATCACTAGGTCTAAAGCATATGCTGTATTGAAACACAAAAAGATTGTTTTCAAATATTGTC